ATTATCTGAATATAAACAAATCCTTACTGTAGCCGGTGGAAATTTTCTAATCCCAGGCATTGTACAATTGGTCTTAAAGGGATTATTATTGTGAGGGTATTATTGCATTGGGCATTGTTCCTGTACTTCTCAGACTTTGAATTTTTATAAACTTTATATTTCACAACATTCCACTCCTTCAACTTCAACTCCAATTCTAGACCCCCAACTTCAAAACACACTCCACATTTTTTCTCGAATTCAGCCACTTATGAATATTATGTTGGTTGTATTTATAATTCTGAATTGGCCAATAACTTATTAAGCCTCTTAAAACAACTGCTGAGGCAAGAGTTTGAGACCAGCCTCAGCAACATAGGGAGACTTCATCTCTGGAAAAAAAAAAAAAGTCAGGTACGGTGGCACGTGCCTGTGGTCCCAGCTCCTCAGGAGGCTGAGGTGGGAGGACGCTTAAGTCTTGGAAGTCAAAGCTGCAGTGTGTCATGACTGTACCACTGCACTCCAGCCTGGGCAACAAAGTGAGATCCTGCCTCAAAAAAATAAAAATAGTGGGAGGCTGAGGTGGGTGGATCACCTCAGGAGTTCGAGACCAGCCTGAATAACATGGTGAAACCCTGTCTTTACTAAAAATACAAAAATTAGCCAGGCATAGTGGTGCACACATGTGATCCCAGTTACTTGGGAGGCTGAGGCAGGAGAATTGTTTGAACCCGGGAAGCAGAGGTTGCAGATTGCACCACTGTACTCCAGCCTGGGTAACAGAGCAAGATTCCGTCTCAAAATAATAATAATAATAATAATAATAATAGGCCGGGCACAGTGGCTCACACCTGTAATCCTAGCACTTTGGGAGGCCAAGGCAGGTGGACTGCCTGAGCTCAGGAGTTCAAGACCAGCCTGGGCAACATGGTGAAACCCTGTCTCTATTAAAAAAAAAAAAAAATTAGCTGGGCGTGCCGGCATGAGCCTGTAGTCCCAGCTACTCAGGAGGCTGAGGAGGAGAATGACTTGAACCCAGGAGGTGAAAGTTGCAGTGAGCTAAGATGGTGCCACTGCATTCCATACACAGCAGCCTGGCAATACAGCGAGACTCAGTCTCAAAAATATATAAAAATAATAATAAAAGAATTAATGGCTAATAAGTACAAATCACCATGAATTTATTAAACGCCAACAATGTCTTCAGCACCCTGAATGTAAAACATAGGCATACCTTCCATTTTCAGGACCCAGATCATTCTCCTCTTTTGTTTTCATCATTCTAATATTAAGGAACAGATTTCAGTCTTGAGAGTGGGCAACTTCCTTTTGCCATTAGGTATAACATAAAGAAACAGAATGATGACTGGCACATGCCAAAACAAAAACAAACAAAAAGAGTCACACCAAAAATAGAGAGAAAAGAGTACACAAGAAATAAGGGTCACTGTGAAGGGCTCATTCAAATAAAATGTCAAGGTTTTCCTTTTTGTTGATCTCAATTTAAAAATACCATCACTTGGTCAGGCACGGTGGCTCACGCCTGTAATCCCAGCACTTTGGGAAGCCAAGGCGAGCAGATCACAAGGTCAGGAGATCGAGACCATCCTGGTGAACATAGTGAAACCCCATCTCTACTAAAAAAAAAAAAAAAAAAAAAAAATTAGCAGGATGTGGTGGCGTGTGCCTATAGTCCCAGCTCCTCCAGAGGCTGAGGCAGGAGAATCGCTTGAACCTGGGAGGCAGAGGTTACAGTGAGCCGAGATCATGCCACAGTACTCCAGCCTGGTGACAGAGTGAGAATCCGTCTCAAAAAATAAAAAATTAAAAAATAATAATAAAAGGAATACCGTCACTTACATTTTCCACTGCTTTGTTCAGCATGGACTAGGGGGCCAGGGCAATGCATAGTGTGAGAACTGGTAACTTACTTGAGGAAAATCAGCCATCATCCTTACCAGTGCTCCTCCCTTCCTGGAAGCCCCCAGTACAGGGAAACAGGGACAAGACTGCCAAGCAAACAAAGTTTAAGCACACTTCACATAAGACACAAGGCAGAACTTTTATAAAAACACTAGACTGGGCGTAGTGGCTCACGCCTGTAATCGCAACACTTTGGGAGGCTGAGCGGGGAAGACTGCTTGAGTCCAGGAGTTCGAGACCAGCCTGGGCAACATGACGAAACCCCATCTCTGTTGAAAAAAAGAAAGGAAGAGAAGGTAGGTGAGGTTGCTGCCCTACAGAATCCTTTTTAAAAATGTGTCACCATCAGATATTTTACCTAATGGATGCACCCCAAATAGATCCATAGCAGAGAGTCAGCAGAGACTCACATCAGTTCCCCATCCTTCTGTTCCACAACACCAAGAGCAAACATCAGTATCATCCTTTCTCTTATTTGCTTCATATCTCTCTTTTTTTTTTTTTTTTTTTTTTTTTTAAGATGGAGTCTTGCTCTGTCACCCAGGCTGGAGTGTAGTGGCGCGATCTCGGCTCACTGCAACCTCTGCCTCCTGGGTTCGAGCAATTCTCCTGCCTCAGCCTACTGAGTACCTGCAATTACAGGCGCCTGCCAGCATGCCCGGCTAATTTTTTGTATTTTTAGTAGAGACGGGATTTCACCGTGTTGCCCAGGCTGGTCTCAAACTCCTTATCTTATGTGAGCCGCCTGCCTTGGACTCCCACAGTGCTGAGAGTACAAGCATAAGCCACTGTGCCCAGCCTTACTTGCTTCATCTCTAACACAGCTACAAGGACAGTGGGCTGGAAATGAGGAGGAAACAAAGGAATTGTCTGTCACTTCCTCCCCCTCCAAGCACCGAATCAGGGGCCCACTGAAGAGGCATTATTCCTGGATATAATCCTAAGGCAGTCATTCTGAGGAGAGAAGCAGCATCCAAACAGCTGTTCTTTTGCCAAAGAGCAACTGCCAGGCCACAGCAGAGGGGCCCCAGTGAGACTTATTGATAGGTGACCATACATTAAGGAGCAAGAGAGCAGAGAATGGGAATGATGTAGAAGGAAGCTGTCTTCCAATGTGAACCCTCAGAGACTCAAGGAAAATGAGATCCATTGACTTCTTTTGAATCAAGATACATAGGAACACCTGAGAAAAAGCCATGAAACGAGCCAGATGGTCTTTGGGCCCCTGCTCCCATACCCAGAGCTGTGTACCCAACAGGGACTTTCAGTAGGGTACCCCAGATTCAGTCCTTCCTTCCTCTATTTCTCAGCACTCACCCCCCAAACAGGTGGCCATCAGGCTGATCTCAGCTAGCGTGCCACTGGGAGGTAATGGGTTAAAAAACTTTTTTTTTCCCCCCCAGTGGACACTCTGTAGCACAGTTTCTTTAAAGAGTGATTGGTAGAATTTCAGACTTCTTGGTGTAGTCTAATGGGAGAGAGTTTTTAGAGGAGTCTCTTAGAAACATTTAATTCCTGCCAGGTAGACAATCACTGACCACACCTACAGGTAAAGTAGGTTTTGCCTAATTATGACCACAGACACGGATCTTTTTATTTCAAGGCATTCTCTGTGCTTCCTAGACCACTTATTTTTCAATCTGTAACTTAAATATTGAACCAAAGTATTATGAACCACTGCATTTTTGTGTTGAAACTACCTCAAGATGGCCAATGTCTCTACTCTTAGAAAAAGTCCCTACTTTGACTAACACATGGGTGGAGAAGGAGGAAATTACTATTTGCTTTTGCTTAGAAATGTGAGCCTGTTTGGATCTCTCAGGTTTCCATAAAAACTGACAAATCAAAATAATAAGTTTGCTGCAACAAATAAGGTATTTTGTGTATAAATATTTAGTGGCAAGATGTGAGTGCTAGAATTTCAAAAATAGTTAAAATAATGATGGTAAATCCTCAACTGCTGTGAAAACAAACAAGATACAGCTTGCTGAACAGGGAATGAACAATCTTCAAGTGCTGTATTATTCAAGAATGCTGCCCTATTTCAGGAATTCCATTTAACTGACTTAAAATGAACCAGTAACAAAGATTCATAGAATGTTAAACTTAGAAGATACCTTAAACTTCATCTAATATGACACCTTCATGGGAAACTTGAGACCCACAGAGTCCTGACAATTTCATTTGTAAGTTGCTTATATGGAACTTGTAACAGATTTATCCATAGAAATAATATGATGCCAGCCTGGGCAACATAGCAAAAACCCATCTCTACAAAAAATACAAAAATCAGTCAGGCATGGTGGTGTGCACCTGTGGTCCCAGCTACTCAGGAGGCCGAGGCGGGAGCATGGCTTGAGCTTGGTAGGTTGAGACTGCAGTGAGCTGTGATTGTGCCACTGTATTTCAGCCTGGGAGACAGAGGGAGACCCTGTCTGAAATAAAAAAGAAAGAGACAAAGAAAAGAGAGAGAGAGAGAGAGAGAGAGAGAGAGAGAAAGAAAGAAGGAAAGAAAGAGAAAGAAAGAAAAAGAAAGGGAGGAAGGAAGGAAGGAAGGGAGGGAGGGAGGGAGGGAGGGAGAGAAAGGGAGAGAAGGAAGGAAGAAGAAAGAAAGGGAGGGAGAGGGAGGGAGAGAAGGGAGGGAAGGCAGGAAGGCAGGAAGGCAGGGATAAATGATGGTTAGAGCCTCAAATACTGCCCTTCTCCTCCTCATTGTACAATGTTGTATACTTGAACTGCATTGTTTTCTGCTATTGTTAACTTCAAGGGTATACATTTAATCTACATTCTAGGTGCATATGAGCAATTAACTACCATTCATAACATCATGTCAGAGGGAAAACATGGCCCCCAGAGATGGGTGTACGGAGGCACCTCCAACCCTTGGTAAAAGGCTAGAATATTTTCGGTTCCAAGAAACAATATCTTCTCTAACTGGGTTAACAATAAGAACATTTATGTGTTCATGTAACTGGAAGTTCAGAGCAGAATTGGCTTTAGAATCACCTTAACCAGGATCTCCTGCTGCATTTCTCTGCCACTCCCTTCCATGTGCCTCTGTCATTCTTTGGACTTCATCTTTAAGTTGCTTTTCTTAGGTGGCAAAAGGAACACGATGGTTCCTGCACATCCTGGCATGCAGATGAAGGGCAGTCTGTCACAGGTTCCCAAGCAGGAGTCCTGAGATACACCTTGACTGGACCTGGTAAGTCACATGTCCACTCCTGAACAATGGCCTTCAGTGGGAAATGGAATGCACTGATTGGTTTAGCCAACCAACTGTTAAGGTTGAGATCTTCTCTTCCCCAAGTACATGGGTGACGATGTAAACTAAAGTAAAATGTGAGTTCATTGAGATAGGTGAAGGGAAGAATGGATAGATAACCCACCATGTCCACTAACCTGTCTCTCCCCGTAGTCCCCATCCCCAACCACCGCGGGGAGGTATTGGGTGGCAGAGCTGAGGAAGCTAGATTATCCCAGGCAGGCACACGAATGTGGGGAGCAGAGAAGAAAATGGAAGGATTCTACTTCTGTTCACCCTACCCTAGTGTATACTCTACCCTCACGCTTTAGAAGCCCCAGATCATAGACACCCACCCCGTCTCAAATCCCAGCTACACAGACTTTCACTCCAGTTTAAAACGTTAGGATCTGCCACCACCACTAGAAAGAAAAATATCAATAGAAACATACATTTTTCCTGCATAATTTAGAAGCATCTTATGTGTTTTCTGTCTTCCTCTCAACTCTACTTCCTTGCCAAAGAGAAATACAGCAGCCCTAGAAATATAATGGATTCTGGCCGGGTGTGGTGGTTCACGCCTGTAATCCCAGCACTTTGGGAGGTCGAGGTGGGTGGATCACCTGAGGCTGGGAGTTCAAAACCAGCCTGACCAACATGGAGAAACCCCGTCCCTACTAAAAATGCAAAATTAGCCAAGCATGGTGGTGCATGCCTATAATCCCAGCTACTTGGGAGGCTGAGGCAGGAGAATTGCTTGAACCCAAGAGGTGACAGTTGCGGTGAGCTGAAATCGCGCCACTGCACTCCAGCCTGGCAGCCTGGGCAACAGCGAGAGACTCCGTCTCAAAAAAAAAAAAAAAAACAAAGTGTCCCCAGCTGTCTACAGAATATCTTTCTCTTTTTAGCTTATGATGAAAACAAACGTATTAATAACTTTAAAAATGCAAGATCTCAATCACCAGAATGTCCAAATAACCTAAAATTTTTTCTCCTACATGCCACTTTAGAAAATACAAAAAGATAAATGACAAGAAAACAAGACAATGTAGAAGAGGAATTTGAAAAACAAGAGCTGACAGCCATTGGTTTTAAATGGGACTACCCAATGAGAGTGGCTGTTCACATTGATGTGAAACATTGTCCAGTTTTAAGGTAAATACTTTCCTCCAGTTTTGTGTTTGGATTCTTTGAAGAGTGGAGATCCTGCTATACATGGGAATGTTAATTAACCAGAACCTCGTCACTATTCTGGATAAATGGAAGCTTCTGTGTTCAGAATTTAAAGTTGTTGTTAAGAATTCAGCTTGGGCCGGGCGCGGTGGCTCAAGCCTGTAATCCCAGCACTTTGGGAGGCCGAGATGGGTGGATCACGAGGTCAGGAGATCGAGACCATCCTGGCTAACACGGTGAAACCCCATCTCTACTAAAAATACAAAAAAATTAGCCGGGCGTGGTGGCAGGCGCCTGTAGTCCCAGCTACTCGGGAGGCTGAGGCAGGAGAATGGCGTGAACCCAGGAGGCGGAGCTTGCAGTGAGCCGAGATAGTGCCACTGCACTCCAGACTGGGCGACAGAGCAAGACTCCGCCTCAAAAAAAAAAAAAAAAAAAAAAAAAAGAATTCAGCTTGAGGTAAAGATAAATTTTGTAATTTATGTCTATAAGAAGCTTCTATGTAAATAACTACTATTGTTGTTTGCAAATAATAGATTGGATTATAATGGGTGAAAAAGTATATAATAATTAGCCAAAAGAATGGTAATCTTTTTTTTTTTTTTTTTAGACAGAGTTTTACTCTTGTTGCCCAGGCTGAAGTGCAACGGCGCCATCTCGGTTCACTGCAACCTCCACCTCCCGGGTTCAAGCGATTCTCCTGCCTCAGCCTTCCTGAGTAGCTGGGCTTACAGGCATGCGCCACCACGCCAGACTAATTTTGTATTTTTAGTAGAGATGAGGTTTCTCCATGTTGGTCAGGCTGGTTTCGAACTCCCGACCTCAGGTGATCCACCCACCTCGACCTCCCAAAGTGTTGAGATTATAGGCGTGAGCCACCGTGCCCAGCCTAAGAATGGTAATCTTATTGATAATGATTTTATTTAAGAGCAAATATACCAAAGGTGTCAAATGAGGGGGAAAAACTGAAATAAAAAATGAAAGAGCAAGCAAATAGCCGAGCATAGTGGCTCATGCCTATTGTCCCAGCTACTGGGGAGGCTGAGGCAGAAGGATCACTTGAGCCCAGGAATTCAAGGTTACAGTGAGCTACAATTGCACCACTGTACTCCAGCCTGAGCAACACAGCAAGACCTGGCTCTAAAAATAAAAATTAAAAATGGTAATAGTTGTAAAAGCAAATGTCTTTTCTTGAAGACATACCATGTTATCTGTATAACAGAAGTAATGTAATTTTTAGAGAGGTCCTAGATAAGTACTAAAAAATCTCTGGGCACTGGAAACTAGTTCTAGCTGTGCCCCTGTCTGATCTGAGACAGTGTATCTATATCTCAGGTTTTAATTTTTCTCATCTGTAGAACTGATTCTTTGGCAGAATTGTCTATACCTAGCTGAGGAAGACAGAAAGTCACGCATTAATCAGATACATGAAGATGTCCTTCATCTCGGTGTGTGTGCCGGGCAGCTCACCTTTGGTGGTTTCTCTGTGCTTTCACAACAGGAACAGCACAGAATAAGTGATAGATTACTATTCTCTTCTTTTGCTTTAACTAAAGGAAGATTTAGGCCTATTTAGGTTAAGGATAAAGCTTGTCAAGTTAAATTACTACTAATAAACATAGAACAATGAAACTAGAAAACTACCATCTGGAAAACACCACAGTAACAATTGGTTAGGAGATGACTCATCAATGAAATCTAGGCAGTCACATTATGATGAGAAACAAGATTTTTACATAGTCACAAAACAGGTCCCTAGAATACTTACTGAGGAAACAATCCTAAATTTACAGTGGAGAAATCTGACAGATACCCACTTAACCAGGCGATTAAACTTAACGTTACTTGTCATGCGACAGACCTGTATCACATGCCTCCTGAGACGTTCTGAGAAGAATCCAAAGCCTCTGCGGTGGCATGAAAATTCCATGAGGAAATATGAGACAATCCAAAACTCAGGCCATTCTATAAATAATGGACTAGTACCTTTCAAAGGCGTCAAGGCTTTGAAAAGACAAGGAAAGATTGAGGGACTGTTCCAGATTAAAGGAGACCAAGGAGACATGACAACTAATGCAACCTGGGGTCTCCGGTTGGATTCTGGGCCAGAAAAAGGACACGGTGGGACAGTTGCTGAAATCTGAATCAGGTCTGTAGATTTGATAAGAGTATGTATTAAACTTAATTTCCTGATTTTGGTAATTGTACTATGGTAAGGCAAAATATTCACTTTGTGGGAATCTGAGTGAAGATTATACCTGTATTTTTTGTACATTCGTATTTTTTCTGTATACTTGAACAAAAACCATCTAGGATAGGCAACGATACAGAAATTTCTTAAAATTATTTTTGTGAAAGTGATACTCAGAGGAAACAACAGAAATCTAACTAAATGTAACATACATCAGAGCATCTCACAAGGTGCCCCTTAAAAAGAATTAGAGAAGATAATTTGAGAAGTGGCTTGCATTTCTCTTTGCCAAACATAGAATCTCAGTACTGGAAGAAACCTTAAAGAGAATACCGGAAAGAAAGAAACCAGCCACAACCTTCCCGTCCAACAACAGAGGAATAATTCTTTAGGGTTCACCCATTCCCTAGACTTATACAACCATTAAAGTGTCTACTGATGAGAAATCGTGTAGCAAAATGGGAAAATGTTTTTATTATAATTTCATTTATTTAAAAATCAGGATACAAGGTATATGTACACTTTCTGGCAGGGATTGGTGGCTCATGCCTGTAATCCTAGCACTTTGGGAGGCCAAGGTGGGCGGATTGGCTGAGCTCAGGGGTTTGAGACCAGCCTGGGCAACATGACAAAACCCTATCTCTACTAAAAATACAAACAACACAAAAAACTAGCTAGGTATGGGGACACATGTAATCCCAGCTACTTGGGAGGCTGAGGCAGGAGAAAAGCTTGAACCCAGGAGGCAGAAGTTGCATTGAGCCGAGATTGCGCCGCCGCACTCTAGCCTGGACGACAGAGTGAAACTCCAGCTCCAAAACAAAAACGAAAACAAAAACAAAGCATAGGTACACTTTCTAAATCCCACTATTTAAAATATACACACATGAAGAAAGACAAAGGACATACATGATGAATTTGATTAACATGGTGAGATTGTCAGAGTTTTGTTTTTTTTCCTGTCTCTATTTTCTGAATTTCCTATGACATTTTAAATTTCAAGTGTTTTCATAAAGAAAAATAAAAGTCTTCCCAATTTTGAGCCAAAATTTTCACCTTATTCCATATAACTACCTCTTACCTACACCCCCCCCACCATGGGTACCTGGGGACTTCCACAGACACCAACCTCACCCAGCCACTGGGCCCCTCTCCATGGAGGCAGCCAACCTTCCTAGGATCTTGCTGCCCTAACTTGATGATGGGAGACTAGTCCTTAAAGCCCCTGAGCTGTGTAGCTTTAATATCACTGAGTTAGCCCACAGCCTACCAGGCATTGTGTTGGTGCCTCTTTTTCATTCTTCTTCCTCCCCTAGGGTGCAGTTTCACTCCCCTGCTTGGCTGCTACTCTAACATCCTGCCTGGGCCTTGCCAGTACTCCTCCTCTTCTCAGGGGCTGAATCCTATTCCCCTTGTAAACAGTTTGCCCGGGCCACTGTGACAAAGACCACAGATGGAGAGGCTTAATAACAATAATGCATTGTCTCAGTGAGTTCTGGGGGCTGGAAGTCCAAGTTCATAGTATCAGCAGGGCTTGTTCCTTCTGAGGGCTGTGAAGGGGCTGTCCGTTCCAGGCCTCTCTCCTTGCCTTATAAATGTCCATCTTCTCCCTCTGTCTCTTCACAGTGTTTCTCCTCTGTGTGTGTATCTGTGTCCAATTTCCCTCGTTTAATAAGGATACTCATCATTGGATTAGGGCCCCCCTAGCCCAGTATTCCTCATCTTAACTTGATTACATCTACAAAGACCTCATTTCCAAATAAGGTCACATTCTGAGGTACTGGGAGTCAGGACTTCAACATATGAATTTGGTTGGGATGGGGACACAATTCCATTCATATCTCAGGTACTAATGGAGCTTTGCTCCAAAAGAGATAGACCACCCAGCCGGGCTCAGTGACTCATGCCTATAATCCCAGCACTTTGGGAGGCCGAGGCAGGCAGATCACCTGAGGTCAGGAGTTCGAGACCAACCTGACCAACATGGAGAAACCCCGTCTCTACTGAAAATACAAAATTAGCCAGGCGTGGTGGTGCATGCCTGTAATCCCAGCTACTCGGGAGGCAGGAGAATCACTTGAACCCAGGAAATGGAGGTTGCAGTGAGCCAAGATTGCACCATTGCACTCCAACTTGGGCAACAAGAGCGAAACTCTGTCTCAAAAAAAATAAAAAGAGAGAGAGAGATAGACCACCCTAGGGCATCAGGGTGCCTCTGACCTGACACTTCCTAGATGCTCCTACTGTTTAATTTTTATCAAAGTCCTTTGGACAGCCTCATGATCCTTGGCTATAGGTGGTTATTAATCTGGCTGGAGGGTTGTCCCCACAGGCAAAACATGAGTGTGTCTGTCCATCATAAAGAATCTGTTTGTTATATGCGCTCTTATGCTTATAGCAGCACTTTTCACAATGGCAAAGATATGGAATCTCCCTAAGTGTCCATTAACAGGGATAAAGAAAACATGGTATATATACACAATAGAATACTATTCAGCCATAAAAAAGAATGACATCATGTATTTTGCAGCAACATGGATGGAACTGAGGTCATTATCTTAAGTGAAACCAGTCAGACCCAGAAAGACAAATATCACATGTTCTCACTCATAAGTGGGAACTAAAAATTGTGTATCCCAGGATGCAGAGAGTGGAATGATCCACAATGGAGAGGTAGAAGGGTGAGAGGATGGGAAGGGGAGTGGATGATGAGAAATTACTTAATAGATACAATGTATGTCATTTGGGTGTTGGATACCCTAAAAGCCCTGACCTGAGCTCTCTGCAGTGTAAGCATATCACAAAATTGCACTTGTACCCCATAAACTTATACAAATTTTAAAAAAGGGGACCAGGCGCGGTGTCCCATGCCTGTAGTCCCAGTACTTCAGGAGGCAGAGGCAGGTGGATCACTTGAGGTCAGGAGTTTGAGACTACCTTGGCCAATATGGTGAAACCCCAGCTCTATTAAATATACAAAAATTAGTCAGGCATGGTGGCATGTGCCTGTAATCCCAGTTACTCAGGAGGCTAAGGCAGAAGAATCGCTTGAACCTGGGAGGTGGAGGTTGCAGTGAAACAAGATCATGCCATTGCACTCCAGCCTGGGCAACAGAGCAAGAATGCATCCTAAAATAAAATAAAATAAAATAAATAAAATAAAATAAAATTCTATTTGCCTTATCACAAACATTACATTTGTCAGTGAAAAAAGGAAGTATTCTTAGACTCCCTATATTTCAATTGTTTCACATTTTTAATAGTTACAAAAACATTTTACTTTTTTTTTTTTCTTTTTTTTGAGATAGAGTCTCACTTTGTCACCCAGGTTGGAGTGCAGTGGCATGATCTCTGCTCACTGCAACCTCCACCTCCCGAGTTCAAGCCGGGTTCAAGTGATTCTCCTGCCTCAGACTCCTGAGTAGCTGGAACTACAGAGGAGTGCCACCACGCCTGGCTAATTTTTTGGTATTTTTTGTAGAGACAGCGTTTTGCCATGTTGCCCAGGCTGGTCTCAAACTCCAGAGTTCAGGTGATCCACCTGCCTCAACCTCCCAAAGTGCTAGAATTACAGGCATAAGCCTCAGCACCCGGCCATTTTTTATCAGTGATGACTATTGAGAATTTCAAGAGATCATTTTGTAAAAGTCTTTGTCAAGAACTATACGTAGGCATTTCAAGTATAAAAATTGGTATAAAAATTTATGAAATCACTCATATTTCTCATTAAAATGTTTCAAGGGATTTTCTTTGAATGTCATATAAATTTTGTATTTAATATTTTCCCTATTTTTTCTCTGGTCAAGTGGCATGTAGTAATTGCTTTATTTTATTTTATTTGAGATAGAGTCTTGCTCTGTTGCCAGACTAGAGTGCACTGGCACAATCACAGTTCACTGCAGCCTTGACCTCCCCAGGCTCAAGTGATCCTCCCACCTCAGCCTCCTGAGTAACTGAGACTACAGGCACGTGCCACCACGCTAGGCTAATGTTTGTAATTTTTTTGTACAGACAGAGTTTTGCCATGTCGCCCAGTCTGGTCTCAAACTCCTGGATTCAAACAATCCACCTGCTTTGGCCTCCCAAAGTGCTAGGATTACAGGCGTAAGCCACCATGCCTGGTCATTAATGCTCTAACGTTAAATCTCCTTCTAAATATTCATCTTTATGCTCTTCAGTGGGCTTCCACTTAGTTTCTCTACAACACACACCAATCTCCTTCCTCACCTCATGGCTATGTTTCTTTTAAACAGGATGTGAATTTGATTTCCTAACTGGATGTCAGGCTCAGGTCCTATCCCACAAGGTTTCAATGAGATCGTGTTTTACAGCCTGGTGTTATAATCCCCAGTTTGCCCTGTTTGTTACGTACGCCCTGTGTGTTTGTATATAGACATCTAAAACCTCAGTATTGTTTCTGGCCTCCTTCCAGCTGTTTTCTCATGTGAATCAGAAGGCCCCTCCCGCTTCCCTGTTCTCCATTCTGCATTGTGCCTATTACTCTTCAGAGTGGCTGGGATCACAGGTTTACCTGCCGTTTTCCTCCCTTCCTCTTACTCTTTTCAAGCTCCATGTAGAAATTAGTATTTATACACTAAACTCCTGGGTTAATCATTATTTCCCAATTTTGTGAGATGCTCTCCATCCCAAACCAAAAGGCCATCATTTCAATAGCATAACTACTCAGAATCAGGATCCACAAATCCAAATTCAGTAACAAAACATCTTGATGGCCTGCCAATCACGTCTCAGACCTTCCCTCTTCCAGACTTACAAACGTCAGTAGTGAGATGCAAAGAAAATAACCAACTGGGCTCCCAGGTCCTAAACTTCACAGACTCTTAGAAATGCCTCCTTTCATTTCTGATGAAGCCTTTCATCCCCACAGGAGGAAGGGTGATCATTTTTCAAAGTCCTAGGTATTATCTTCAAGCAGGCCATCCTTCTGAACACTCTTCTCAGTCAATCCATTGTTCGATCAATTCTTCCTCCCCCAACGTTTCTTGGATCCATCCCATCTCTATCTCTGCCGCGTTGCCTTCATTGAAGCTCTTATTATGTTCTGCTTGAAACATTAAGATGACCTTTTGTACAGGTCTGTGTCTCAGCTTAGTCTCCGTACTGCCACCAGAGTTATTGCCTGATGCTTCTCAAAAACCATAAGTAGCTGGCTGGGTGCCGTGGCTCACTCCTATAATCCCAGCACTTTGGGAGGCTGAGGCAGGTGGATCACCTGAGGTCAGGAGTTTGAAACCAGTCCTCTCTCTGGGTTTCAAGTCCCTCGAACCTCTATCTGGGTTTCCCAGTCCTCAAGTGATGAGGACTGGGAAACCAGACCTCAAGTGATCTGCCGGCCTCAGCCTCCCAAAGTGCTGGGATTACAGGCATGAGCCGTCATGCCCGGCCCATAATCTTTTTCCAATCTTCCCCTAGCACTTGACTTGGAGTGCAGTACATGATAAGTGCATAAACTGTTAAATTTTCAAAAATGTTTGACCTACTTGACCTTATATTGGTTGTTTAAAATCAGCCACAGAAGAAGTATTTACAATTTACATGATG